CTTTCAGGAGCCATAAAGGCTTTATGGAAATGGCAATTGTTATTGCTATCCATCAGGATGAATCAGGCATGGATCCGACAGATGTTCGGATCAAGAAGAATGAAAATATCTTCTTCAGTTGGCATCAAGTGCCATTTGTTAACGGATGATCCGTTGGGCCTGAAATTTTGGCGGTTACCTTTGGTGAGTATTGTTAACTCAGTATATTTTTTTCAAATTTTTCGGATGTTAAATTAATGATTTTCGTCTCGAACGACGCAGCGTTGTAACGACTTCCTGTCGAACGAAATCGTTGGAAGTTGATGGGTCTCCTGGAGTTGGTGGCCTCAAACATTGTTTCGCAAATCGTTTGACTGGTCAGTGACTTCGTGCTATTGTGGATCTTCAAATTTTTCAAAGGAAAACTCCAACAAGTGAAAAGTGAGTTCAAACAAAAAAAAATTTGTTTTTCAGAAATAACATTTTCTTTGAAAATCTTCGCAGATGGCGTTCCTGAGGATCCTGGTGTTGCTGGTTGTCGGTGTTGCGGCTGCTGGGGGGGACTGCGGTCCCGAAGACGGAGTGTTTGTGTGTTGGGACGTCTGCGGCGAGGAGGTGAGGGGCGCCGGCGGCTACGGGCGCCGCGTGACGTTTGTTGGGGCGACGCTGTTCTTGGACTGCGTCAGACAGGTGGATCTCAAGGTGAGTGTTGAGAAAAAACGGAATAAGTGACATGTATGACAGCCATTTTTGTTTGTAGGAGGTGAAGCTGCTGTCGCCGACGGTCTGCGTTGGACTTCGGTCCGAGATGGATCGAGTGGTGACACCGTGGAGGTGGTGCAAGGAGGTCGTACCACCCGAGCCGGAAGTTTCGACGGCGGCAGTTCCGCCGGTGGTTGGTGAGTTGTTTCAGCTTTTCCACACAGGCATAAAACATTCCCAAAACACAACTCACACACATAACATCACAACACTTATCCAACACCTGACCAACACCAAGTCAAAAATTTTCCTTCACCAAATTCTAGTGAAATTTTTATATATACAGATGAGCCTCGCCCGGTGGCGCCGACGGCTAACTTGGCGGTCGTCCACGTGCCGGCGATCAAAACGCCGTTCATGGTCCGGGCGCCGCCCTCAACGCAGCAAAGCGTTGTGGTGGCCCAAGAGGTGCCACACGTCATCAAGGCACCGTCGTCAACGCTGGAAGTGACGGTCAACATCAAACATGGTGTTGCGCACGTCGAGGCAGACATGGACCCATGGACGGCGATGGTCCTGGTCTTTATGGGCCTTGGGGGAGCTGGAGCCACATCTCTGGCTGTCTTTTTGGTCTGGCTGGTTAAGTTCATCAGGAACAAGGTTAGCCAGTTTTCTTTTGCTTTTTTAATAAAATGGCTAACAATGCTTTTTGCTTTTATGCTTGCTTTGCTTTTTTGTGCATGCATTTCAAAAATAGAGAAAGAAAAGAATTTTGAAACTAGATAAGGCCAAAGTTAAAGAATGCATAGTAGGATCTATGCCCAATATATTTTCTAATGGGCTAGATTCTGATGATGAGGAATTTGAAGTTCTCTCTCAGAATTATGCAGATATCAGGGCTAGATCCCCCAGAGTTTCAACATTTAGACAAGGTAAAACAAATAGCATGTAAATACAAAACAGCGCATGCAATAATTTTTGATGCTTTGCTTGGGGCTTTTTCTTTTGTCTTTTCTGTACAGTCATCGTACATGCGGGAGTTGGTGCGGATGCTGACGCCGGAAAACAAATAGCATGTAAATACAAAACAACGCACGCAATAATTTTTGATGCTTTCTTTGGGGCTTTTTCTTTTGTCTTTTCTGTACAGTCATCGTACATGCGGGAGTTGGTGCGGATGCTGACGCCGGAGGATCAGCCAGATCCGGAAGCCCAACCAGTGGTGGATCTGCTGGGGCTGGAAGAGGCGGATAAACCCATCGCAGAAGAGAAAAAGGAAGAGTTGGTCCTTGAGGACAGTAATCCTTTTAAAGAGATGTTGAACGCGTAAATATGAAATCGCGTCAAAGAAAGTGCCATTTTTTTGTACCCGCGTTTTTATATGGGTAAAGGCAATAAGAGAAGTTGTAAAAAGAATTTCTGGCCTCTGATTCTCTTTTTTGTTTGTCTTTTCCAGCCAAATTCTTTTTTCAGAAAGTGATCAGCGAATGGACAAAATCATCTCAAGTGCATTAGTAGTGTTGTCTAAATCGTCAGCGCAAAATAAATTTTTATGTTCTGCATTGTTGATCAGACAACTTGATTTACATTTTTTTATTCATTCTACCAATCTTTGAATTGAGATTGGAGATTTAAATAATTTTCCACAAACTTTCGAAGAATACTGTACAAGAAATACTCAAATTAGAGGTTTTTATGCACAAGCACTTTATTCAATCTTTTCACACAGTAGAGAATATGTATTGCGGAGCAGAACAATGGCAAGGTTTTGCGGCAAAGTCCGGTTAAAGCAAGCTTACTTGAACATAGAAAATGCTCGTATTTATAGATTTGCAGAATGGAGGTGCACAGTGACCACTTTGGATTGTTCTTGACATACTTTGTTGAACAGAAATAAACAGAAGAAAGGAGAATGATTTAGAAAGGCATTTCTGAATAACAAGCAAATGTAAGGTGATGCTGTATATTGAAAGTAACAATGCAGAATGGAACATGAGCTAATGAGGGAACACCCAAAAGTGCTGTTTATATTGTAGTCACATTTTGACTACATCCCCATGTAAGTTTATTAATTACTGTATATGAAATTATGATGCTATTGTATTCTTGAAACTCTTCAAATTTGTTCAAAAATAATAGAAACCAAAGGTTTATATACGTATGTGCTGTTGTACTGAACCTATCTAATGCATGGGGCACCATTTTATCTCTGTTATTAGAAAAAATGGGGGTGTGTCAATGAGAAATGAAGTTTATTGCTTCAATATCAAAGTCCAAATAAATGACTACGTCCACAGTACTGTACTTATATTTGGGCATGGATTGTTTTTACAAGCTTTCTAATCTTTAAAAAAAGCTTGTACGCATGGAACACAAGGTATTTAAACAATTTGCAACGCAGCTTGAACGCTGACATTCTTTAAAAAAAGGCACAATTGTAGGTTTGAATGAATAAACAGAAAACTTTATTTGCCGCTTTTCGGCGTTCACATTTTGAATTCATGACAAGCTGGAGGTGCCAAGCCACACCTATATATACAGTATAGGCATCATGTGTACAATTTTACAACTGTAAATTAATCAATTAGAGCTGATCACATGTACAGTCAACCCTTGCACAAGGGACCCCCTTGTAAATTCCATGTGCCAAAATTCGCCAAATGCTGCTGGATGGATGGATGGATGGATAGATTATGTACGCATCGTACTTCTCATAGATGGATTAATTCTCGGAAAGGCATAACTGTAGTCAATTTCTGTCCCCTGGTCCTCGTCCGCACCACTACACCTTCATCTCCTCGCAGAAGCAGCACACGCTGTTTCTCCGGTCGAATGACAATGATTCCCACGCGGGGCTGACGAGTACTTGGGCCGCTTTATCTCCGGTTCGTGAAATTTTGCTCTGCTGGTACTGCACGTTCCGATGTGGAATTCGTCCGGCCATCGCGTATACGTTTTCTTTTTCTTTTTCTCGAATCCGGTTCGGTTCCGGGCAGCAGCAGGTACTGTGCGTCAAACAATCTTTTTCCTTCTGCCCTATACGACAACTTTCTCCCAGCAGCACTCGGGTTTTTTCCTCAGACTGCCTTCTTCGAGGCTCGGTGTGATCAAGAGGCTTGATCCGTCATGTCAGTGTAGCACTCATTCATGCAGCGAAGAAACCTGTTCCGTGTAAGGCAGCAGCGATAGAAAAGTTATGAACGTCACTTTCGGTATGTATAGCAGATGATGATGATGATGATGATGACATAAAATCCGATCCACTTCTTAATCAAGTCAAACCTCTCTGTATACATCGACTTGAAGTGAAAGACAACAGAGAATAAATTTGAGTTATTAGGGAAAACAGGCCCTTTGTTGAGGGGAAAGATAGAAAGAATTACAGGAAATTGTGTTCTGGGCATTAAATTGCTTCTCAAATTGAGTTGACAGGAACAGCAGTAATGCCGATTTTGGAGGCAAGGGTTCATTTTGTGCGAAATTTATTTGGCGGCAAAGGACGCCGCCACGAAAAAAGAGGGGTCCGTTGACTTGAAATTTAATCGGCGCATCTCGAGATGCGCCGAAAAAGACAAGAACAAGAAAAGTTGGCGCCCCAAAAAATCGGGGCAACCGAAAACCGAAAAATCCTGAAAAGGAAGAGTATAGAACTAAAAAATAATCCCCGGAACCGGGGCAATTCGAGCTGCTTGTAAAATCCGCGCACTCGTAAAATAAGGGAGACGACTCCCTTAGCAAAAACTTCGAAACTCAGGGACAAAACGAAAATTATTGCCAGCTGCTGGCGAAAAACAAGCAGGAACAGATCTTCTTTCCAAAAAGCAATTTGTCTCTAAACTGCAAACTGTCCAAAATTGCCTCGACTTCCCCATCCGAAACCCACTCCTGGGAACAGTATTTTTTCTGCAAAATAATAAACTAAAACACCCGGTTGCCGGGAGAAGAAAAACCATGTACAAATATCACGAAAACAGCACTAAAACCCACTGTTAAGATAATAAAATCGCGCCCGAAAACTGGGGAAAACTGTGTTCGAAAAATAACGAAAAAGTCGTTGACAGCTGCCAACATCTGGCCAGTTCATTGACTTTGAAAATCCCAGCACCTGGGTGTTTTCGAAACAAGAAATTGGCGCCAAAACAGGGAAGAAAAGTTGCATAAAACCCCCTCGAATTTGACGCAACACTACCAGTTGATCTTTGAAGGAGCTGCGGATATTTTACGCAAAATTCGTAATTTGCGGACTTGTCCAAATTTCGGCAACCTTTGCGGACTTAACTAAAAATCAGGAACTGTGAAAATCTTTACAAAAATTGGAACCTTTGAAACTTTCTGAAAATTGACTGAAGTGTGGTGCAATCTTTACTTTAAAAACCTCTAACAATTTATTCTTTGTCTGAAACGCTCTAAAAAAGCGTACTAGTCTTCTCCCACTGTCCATACTTGTGAAAAATTTCGTTGTGAATATTATTTTTTCCAACCACTGGAACTCCTTATTGCCTAAAAAACTTCTCAACCAAGTACCAAAGAAAACTTTACGCGAACTAATTTATTGATTCCAATTCTGCCAAAATTCTCGGGAACCGTTTATTGTGTGTGTGTGTATTGTGAATTTTAAGCATTTTTCTGAGCCCAGTCCTGGGAATTGTCATATTCTAATTTCTGTGACAACGTGAATGTGTATTATTTTGTTGCATTTGTATTAACCTGTGAAGAGAAAAGAAAAGGTCAGCGCTAGTGGGGAAATAGTTCCCCGGTCGGTTCGCGCACCAGCCAATTACTGTGTTTTAATTCTACTCCTAATTAACAAATTGACAAGGTTTATTTCAGCGAATTCAACCAACAGTTTACAGGTGTAAGGCTTGTAAAAATCCAACAACTATATTTAAAACCTTACAAATCAGCGCTAGTGGGGAAATAGTTCCCCGGTCGGTTCGCGCACCGGCCAATTGCTGTGTTTTAATTCTACTCCTAATTTAACAAATTGACAAGGTTTATTTCAGCGAATTCAACCAACAGTTTACAGGTGTAAGGCTTGTAAAAATCCAACAACTATATTTAAAACCTTACAAGTGAGTTCATAAAAACGTGGTAAAAACGTGGTAAAAACGTGGTAAAGAAACAGGGTATATCCCATCGAACGCCCCTCTTCTTTCAACATTTCATAATTTTTAGCTCGATGAATAAAATATTTTTCTTGCCATTCATTAAACACGCTACAAGCTGAACGACAAAAAGGTTTAAAATAATGCAGTTGAATCAATTCTTGAGCGAAGAACACAAAATTACATCGAGATCATACTTGTAATAATGTATTTAGAAAAGTAATGATAATTAAATCTGATCTTAACTCGTTTTCAAAACGCTTATTTTCTTTTGCCGAATTTTATCGACTTTCTCGGAAAAAAGGATGTTGAAAATCGCGCGTCTTAAAAAGTCTCGATTCTCGGACTGTTTCTAGGATACTTTCCAGCATTTCTCCTCCCTGCTTTTCTCATATTCATTATGAATGAAAAAATTCAGATACTGTATAATCTCTAAAAATCAGAAAAGTGGAGAGAATAAAATTGTTCGTTAAAGGAATACAGACTCGTGAGGGATTCTTTGGCGAAAAAGCATGTTCATACAGACAAAATTTAACACGATTTAATCTCGGGAAATAAATCAACATCCTCAAAAACAGTCGACAGTTTTGCCGGTCATCAATTTTCAGTTGTATCAATACGAGTATTCAGAATAATTAATACGACAAAAATGTTACACAGAAAGTGATCAGAAAGGAGACGGAAAATAAAGAAAAAGCGAAACAGGATGGGTTTACAGAAACATATAAGGTATTTCGACTTCAGTAGGTCAAAATGTGACCCTTGATGGCTATGCTTTCCTTACTGTGATGCATATACACCGTATAATCTCTGTTATAAACAACGCATTTCGTTATCACTTTACTTCAAATGCCTCTGAAGCGGCAATAGCCTCAAGAAAGTGACACCTTTGCTCATCCAAAGCCATCAATTCATTGTCGAGGTCTAAGCAAAACCGCAAACCTCGTTTTCGCCAAGGACAGAACCTTGACTAAAAACCAGATTCATCTTGTCCAGATCTTCTTAATGTACTGTACTACGAACAGACCAATTTCGCATCTCCAGCGGTTTCGATCTAAAAGATCATATACACACATAAATAATTACAGCTTTCATAAAACAAATAATATTCCCACCCATCTCCATGAAGATAGATGGACTATCTGCACACAGTAAATATTCCTCCCTTGCTTTGATATATTTTCCGGCCCTGATTAGTACAGGGCTCTAAAAAAACACTTTCTTCATCAATCAGTAGTGTCTCAGAAAAATATATTAGTTTTAATAATGAATTTCTCATGTACGCGATTAGGGACCCACCAGGCTCCAAAA